GATGTCCCCTCTCTCTGCCTGCTGGCACGCAACTTGGCTGGCCTGGTACTGCCTGTTTGCAGGCCCTGCCCCCTGCCAACTGGTCAATCTGACAGTCGGTCAATTTGCATATTATGCTTTTATTATATAGGATGAACTAAAGATAAGTCATTTTTTTGTTTTTTCTTTATTGACTAGGTTATTACATATGTGTCCTTATCCTCCCATTACTGCCCCCAATCCTGCTCATGCCCTCACCCCGAATTGCCGGAAGCCGGTCCATCCTTGCTGCTTGACACAGTCACTGCAGGGAAGAAACATCTGCACAGCATATGTTTCAATGGATCTGGCGTATATGGCATACTGTTCTTAATATGTTTGCTCCCCTACTTAGCGCTATGTGTTTTAACCAAGGTCACCTCTCTGAGAAAGGTTGTTTCCTCAGGTGGGGATTTTCCCCTGGAGTTAGGGGTTAACAGGACTAAGGAAGAGAATAAATCAGTAAAATCCCTTAACTAAGTGCCAGGTGGGTAGTTAATCACTTTAACTACCAACAATCGAGTTTAAGCTACATAATCTTTACTTAGGATAATCTCCTTCAGTTACTTCCTTGTAGCTTAACAGAACAACAGAGTAGTGACCTTGGAATGGAGATAACAAATGCCCTAACCCTTGGAATAGAATGGATAGGATTAAAATCAACTGATATAAATACAGATGTAACAGGAGAATAAAGACAGAACCCGGCTGGAGAACCTGACTAGAGAACCTGCCCATGCTGATCATGTGAACGCTGCTGCCTCCATGTCATTCCTTCTTCCCCTACTCCGTCCATACCTTTGGGAACTCCTGGACCTGCTGGGGCTGGACCCCAACACCCAATAGTGTCTGTGTCCATTAGTTACGCTTATATGCATGCACACAAGTCCTTTGGTTGATCTCTCCCCCTTCTGCCCACTGTCCTCTGCCTTCCCTCAAGGTTTGATGGTCTTGATCGATGCTTCTCTGTCTCTGGATCTGTTTTTCTTCATCAGTTTATGTTGCTCATTATATTCCACAAATGAGTACCATCATGTGATATTTATCTTCCTCTGACTGACTTATTTCACTTAGCATAATGCTCTCCAGGTCCATCCATGCTGTTGCAAATGGTA